CAATTCAGCTCATTAGTCCATCCTTTGGTCTATTTCCCTTAAATACTCCACCTCGGCAGTCACTCAGTGCTGGTTCCTTGTCGTCGCTGTAGTTGTCTTCTCACCTCATCTCTCCCTAGCTCATCATGCTAGTTTTTCCCTGATGTCTCCATTGTTTTTGGTTTGTTTAACATTTTATGTTGGATTTCTGGATTGCTGCCTCTGTTACCTGTGTTCTTCAATTGAAATAGTCAGAACTCATCTCTGCTTTGGTTCCTCAAGCAACCTCACCAACCATTGTTGACATTCAGTTGAAGTAAGTAAGTAAATCAAATGTATTTGTATAGCACTTTTCACAGATAAAAATCATAAAGTGCTCCACAGTAAAAATTTAATACAATAAAACAATGTAGAATATGCTTGGAGTAGCAGCTGTGCATAGGGTCCATTAACCCAAAATTATAGTCTGAGGTAAACTGAAAAAATTTGAAAAAAAAAATATTTAATGTGTGATTAACATTGAATTAACTGTGGACAATGAATGCAGTTACTTGTGACAAAATATTATTGATTGACAGGCCTAAGACCAAAGATTGTGTGATATACCAAATTAAAGGCATTTATAAAGTTGACTTAGTAATATTTTCAAAAAGGTCAATGCTATAGGCACCTTAATGGCTGAGTACTGTCCCTGCCTTCATATGGAAATATTTTGCTTCTTTTCCATTATTGCCTTCACTTATCTCAGAATTTAAAGGTTAGTAGTTCACTAGCATATTCAAGACTTTTTCCTCTTCTTTTTATGCAGTACATTTTAGTAAAGTTGACAGACAATTAGGCAAGGGATGTTTATTTGTATATCACAATTAAGTACTAAATGAACAATTCAAAGTACTTTACATGAATTAGATAATAAAATAGAAGAGAAATAAAAGCAGGGTAAAAGCAAAAAACATTTGTAAAACAAAAAGCAGAATAAAAGCAAGTAAAGAAACATGATAAAAGGAGGTACATAAGGATATAAAACAGCTGGATCGCAACCTTTAACTAACAATACCTAAGTTAACAGTCCAACTACAACAGACAAAGGCAGTTCTAAACAAATGGGTTTTTAACTTTCATTTAAAAGAACTCAGGATTTCAGCATTTTACAGTCTTCTGGGAGTTTACTCCAGATACGTCAAAATAGAAACTAAAGGCTGCTTCTCCATGTGTGTTTCTAGTTCTGGGTGTACAGAGTAGACTGGAACTAGAAGACCTGATTGGTCTTGGAGGGTTATACACTGAAAACTTATCTGTTATGTATTCAGGTGCTGATCCATTTTTTAGGATTTTTTAGTTAGTCTTTTCTCTCATCATGTCCTATAAGACAGAAATGCATTGCATTTATCTTGACTGTAAAGAAGATAATAATCTTAAAAGGTAACAATACTGTTTGTATGAAAGCTATAGAAATGGGCTTTGTTGGGAAAAAAAACAAACAAAAAAACGATACACAGTGTCTTTAAATAGTTTACATTTTCTTGCTGCTGTGATGACAACTTGAACCAAAAAGGTTCAACAAGGGTTAGAATAGCTGTTCTATTTAATTTCATTCCAGTGTATTCCTTTCAAACCTGCTCACAATATGCACACAAAAAAATAAAAATAAAAAAAATAAACAAACTCAATCCAGTTTGAAAAGTGGATGGAAGAAGCAGAATGAGTTTTCATTCACAATGAGCTTCAGCTGTTTTAACCANACAAATGTCAGGTAAATACTGTAAGAAAATAGTTGTTTTGGAAATAAAAAAAAACAAAGAAAAAAAATTTTGCTTGTGTGCTTTTTTGAATTGTATTTTTCATTTAGTAGTTCAAGATAATGATCATTCCATAGATATAATAGTTACCTTTAAGCTATACCGTCTCAGTGACGGAGATGAAAACACAAGGAGAAACAAGCAGGCAAGCAAATTATTGCTCTTTTTTTAATTAATCAAGTGATTAGAATTTTTTGTGCGATTAATTGATTATTGCGACAAGCCTTCTCAAGACTTGAGACTTGACTTGGACTTGAGCTCTCAAGACTTGAGACTTGACTTGGACTTGAGCTCTCAAGACTTGAGACTTGACTTGGACTTGCAAAAAATGACTTGTGAACATGTCTGTAATCGTCCTCCCTTACCTTCAGCACAGACCTGTCACTGCACACTGCCCAGCATCAATGCTTTCTGCGGGGGTAGATTTACAAGCAATTACCACCGAATCCGGCCAAATCAGAGCTGTGTCTGACTGAACCAAAGTGGCCTTTTTTTTTTTGAGCTTTCAAAAAAATGATGGTCACGCCAAGGTGATTCAAAAGTGCTTTTATTTTGAAATGTGGACAGACTAGCGTGACCTTGACAGGAAATGATATTGGGTTGCCAGGGGTAACAGCAGAGGGTCTGTGAGGCTGGTGATGTAATAAAAAGTAAACAATTATTCCAGCCACTAAGTAGGATGTACATACCCACTGTTATATTCATTACCAGCACAGAATTGGCACGGGATGTTATGCAATAACTTTATATCAGGAACAGTGCAGCACTAATGTCTGCTGAAAGTACTATGTCATCGGCTGTACTTAAAAATGATTCTATCAAAAGAAAAAATCAACAATATGCACTAATGAAGTAGCACTGTAAACGTAGGCTAGATAATTTTGATTCAATTTGAAGCTTAATGGGGGGATAGTTGACCTCTAGGTGACCTAAAAGAAAATCTTAAGTACCGGTATCTCTGAAACAACAGCAGCACATGTGATCTTTTGTTATCATTATTATTTATTTTTTCATTTTAACGTGACCATTTTAAATGCGCAAACCTGCAATAAAGAAGCAATAATCATTCAGTCCATTTGCTGAGGTGAGGTGTCAGCTTTATGCAGCATAAGTGCATCTGGCTCTGACTCCGGACCTGCTCTCGGAGTCCAATCTCTGGTTAGTCCCCTTGATCATTCTGCCTGTCTCTGCTCTCATTGTTCTGACCATGTGCAGCGTTTAACTGTCAAAGAAGAATTCCTCTAAATCAGACCAAACAGATTCAGGAATCCTCTAAGGTGCACCAGTGACGACACGGCAACTCTCAAAGTTTGTCCCTGAACACAGACAAGAAGTTCCGGTTGCCGACTTGGGTGAATCCCTCCCGACCTTCCTGTGTCACATTCCGATGAACTGTTTAAATGTCTCTCATTGTTCTGGTTGAATTATGGGTCTTCTGTTTTTTCGTCATTACAAGAATATTTTTTTAAATAGATTTTCTTTTTATCTTTATATATAATATAAATATCAGAACATATACTGTAAATGCACCAAATAAGTTAGTTTATCTATGCAAATGCTAAGAGAAATTCAACCTGAAAAACTCACACAAAGAACGAAGGCAATTAGAAGGGTTTTACTGATACAACATTTTAATCTTTGGGATCTCTTCAGGAAACATTAGCACTGAAATGTTCTTTGATAATATGCATAAGGTGATGAATTAGAACAAGCTGAATTCCTCCAGGCCTGAATCTGATTATGGAATGGGGAAAAATTAAGAAGGATGCCAGCTGAATAAGGTGTAGGTTCATATGAACCTTTAAAATGAGCAAGCATGTTGCGACGGTGGAGAGAAAAAAGTCCCCTTGTGAAGAAATCTCTTGCAGAACCAGGCTCAACATGTCGGTCCTCTGCTGGGCCAGTTGGGGATGTTTCCTGAATGCAGTAAACACCAGAGGAATCATCCGATGGGATGAGGCAGCAGCAAAGGGACAGATTGAGTTTATGGCAAAGATTGAGAGGGGTATAGAGGAGGGTTGAAGGTCATCCAAGTCAGACATAAGAAGCCAACTGAGTAGATGATTGGTTCAGTAGAAGCTGTGTTGTGCTTTTGAGTTTCTTTGAAACTGGACTCTGATTGCTGATTGGACTTTGTGGTGGTGTGGTCCAATGCTGATAGGGTTGCTTCAAAGAAGGATGAGCCTCTGATTGGATGGTTAAGTTTTTCAGTGTTGTGATTCTTCCCATTTGTTGTGACTCTGAGTTTTCAGTTTTCTGTTATCAGTTGTTCTGTTTTGTTCTTAGATTTATTTTCCATCATATTCAAGCATTTTTTGTTACTCTTTGTTGCCCCCTTGTGCTTGTTTTCTTTCCCCTTGGATTCCTTCTTGCCAGTTCCACCCACACCTGCTCCCAATTCAGCTCATTAGTCCATCCTTTGGTCTATTTCCCTTAAATACTCCACCTCGGCAGTCACTCAGTGCTGGTTCCTTGTCGTCGCTGTAGTTGTCTTCTCACCTCATCTCTCCCTAGCTCATCATGCTAGTTTTTCCCTGATGTCTCCATTGTTTTTGGTTTGTTTAACATTTTATGTTGGATTTCTGGATTGCTGCCTCTGTTACCTGTGTTCTTCAATTGAAATAGTCAGAACTCATCTCTGCTTTGGTTCCTCAAGCAACCTCACCAACCATTGTTGACATTCAGTTGAAGTAAGTAAGTAAATCAAATGTATTTGTATAGCACTTTTCACAGATAAAAATCATAAAGTGCTCCACAGTAAAAATTTAATACAATAAAACAATGTAGAATATGCTTGGAGTAGCAGCTGTGCATAGGGTCCATTAACCCAAAATTATAGTCTGAGGTAAACTGAAAAAATTTGAAAAAAAAAATATTTAATGTGTGATTAACATTGAATTAACTGTGGACAATGAATGCAGTTACTTGTGACAAAATATTATTGATTGACAGGCCTAAGACCAATGATTGTGTGATATACCAAATTAAAGGCATTTATAAAGTTGACTTAGTAATATTTTCAAAAAGGTCAATGCTATAGGCACCTTAATGGCTGAGTACTGTCCCTGCCTTCATATGGAAATATTTTGCTTCTTTTCCATTATTGCCTTCACCTATCTCAGAATTTAAAGGTTAGTAGTTCACTAGCATATTCAAGACTTTTTCCTCTTCTTTTTATGCAGTACATTTTAGTAAAGTTGACAGACAATTAGGCAAGGGATGTTTATTTGTATATCACAATTAAGTACTAAATGAACAATTCAAAGTACTTTACATGAATTAGATAATAAAATAGAAGAGAAATAAAAGCAGGGTAAAAGCAAAAAACATTTGTAAAACAAAAAGCAGAATAAAAGCAAGTAAAGAAACATGATAAAAGGAGGTACATAAGGATATAAAACAGCTGGATCGCAATCTTTAACTAACAATACCTAAGTTAACAGTCCAACTACAACAGACAAAGGCAGTTCTAAACAAATGGGTTTTTAACTTTCATTTAAAAGAACTCAGGATTTCAGCATTTTACAGTCTTCTGGGAGTTTACTCCAGATACGTCAAAATAGAAACTAAAGGCTGCTTCTCCATGTGTGTTTCTAGTTCTGGGTGTACAGAGTAGACTGGAACTAGAAGACCTGATTGGTCTTGGAGGGTTATACACTGAAAACTTATCTGTTATGTATTCAGGTGCTGATCCATTTTTTAGGATTTTTTAGTTAGTCTTTTCTCTCATCATGTCCTATAAGACAGAAATGCATTGCATTTATCTTGACTGTAAAGAAGATAATAATCTTAAAAGGTAACAATACTGTTTGTATGAAAGCTATAGAAATGGGCTTTGTTGGGAAAAAAAACAAACAAAAAAACGATACACAGTGTCTTTAAATAGTTTACATTTTCTTGCTGCTGTGATGACAACTTGAACCAAAAAGGTTCAACAAGGGTTAGAATAGCTGTTCTATTTAATTTCATTCCAGTGTATTCCTTTCAAACCTGCTCACAATATGCACACAAAAAAAAAAAATAAAAAAAATAAACAAACTCAATCCAGTTTGAAAAGTGGATGGAAGAAGCAGAATGAGTTTTCATTCACAATGAGCTTCAGCTGTTTTAACCAGCTAACCAAAAGTGCATTTTTTTATGTACATTCATATATTTGGTTGTTTCTCATATTTAATATATACTTATAAATTAACCAGTACAAAAAGTTCAGTTTAATGAAATTACATTGTTTGAAGCTAACCATCCATTTAGACAATAGGTACTGGTTAAATACTGAGAAAAATGATATTTTATGTCTGACTGTACTAAGGTCAATCATCAGCTCTTTTTCTGCCCACTGGCATGTAGCCATCAGCACAGGACTGCTTCAATGCACTTCCTGAAAGAGCCATCTGCTTAAGTATGTCATTACCGTGAAGAGGTGGTAAAAATGAGCTTAAAGTTGACCCATCATTGTTTAATGGCTGCTGTGGGAGGGCACTGAGAAGAGGAGTAGGTAACAGGAAGCAAGTTGTTTCATAAGGCTTATCGTCCTTCTCTGTGCTGTCTTTCTGTCTCTCATTTTCCTCAGCTATCATGCTAACTTCTGACCAGAGCTTGGGGATTTGTTTGTAATCGGAACAAATGGAGTTTTTGGCCAAAATGTTCCCACTGCCTCCAAACAATGTCTTAAAATCTAATTTTGTCTTATTTCCTACCCTGCCTTCCTCCTCTTTTTCCTCCATGTGGGTGGTTCCCTCATCAGGTCCTTCAGTCATATTGATGCAGTCTGCCTCCATGCTTTCCTGACTGACTTCTTCACAACTGCACATGCCTGAATCTACACTGTGGAGCCTGAGGCGCTCAGCCTGTTGCTTTCCAACCTTCTCATAGTCTGAGACCACCACTGAATCCGTTTCATTAGCTCTCATAAAAAGCAACTTGACCATTTCCAGATCTTTTTTTGCCAAAAATTCCTTATCCTGTTCAGTTTTTTTGTCGTCACATTGGCCCTGAACAGGCTTGTAAGGGCCATCACCTGCACAGGACTTTGGATTTTCATTTGGCACACAAGGGTAAAGCTTGGAGTAACTGGGGTTGGAAAAGCTGGAGCTGCTGGAATCAAATGTGTTGCTTTCTGGCATCATCTTTACATCTGCCTTGCAGAACATCATGGCATCCACAGTGGAGGTTACTTCATGAGAGACGATTTCCACCGAGCTCAAGAAAGATTGAACGTATTCACCAGTAAAGTGAGAACTTAACCAAGTCTGTGGAAGAGAGAGAAAATATGGTCAGCGGAGTTGAAAGACAAAAACCCCAAAACAGCTGTTTTTGTATCACTACTTTCTGTCTTTAAATGACTTTCTGTGCATTTAGTTAAAGTTGCTGTTATGTGTGTTGATTCAGTTTTTTTTTTTTTTCTTTTATTCATATTTTGTTTTAAGGCCAGGCAACTACACCGCCGTATTGGGAGAGAACCAGATGTCAACTGATTAGGGGTTTTCTATTAGTGATGTGTGAGAGCAATGGAAAATACAAGGAAAATGGACAAATGGCAGGGAGAAAAGCAGAGACTGGAATGGAACAGAAATGGTTAGAGGCTGCAGAAATGGTGCAGAAGGTCAACAGTGATATGATGAGTAGTACAGGCTGTGAGGAGGCAATCTAGGGAAGGAGGGAGACACAGTAACGAGGACTAAGCAGCGATGCTGTAAGGAAGTGATGGCGCTAATGAAAGAGAGCCCTTTAAGGATTCAGAGGCTCGTAGCCTCCAAGGAGATGTCCCTGACATGACAGGAGCACTGACGGGACCAGATCCTAGTATCAATCTTGTCAAAAACATTGTTTGTTTAGGATTGATACTGATTGTACAAAATGGTCGAATTCCTTTTTTTTTGTTATGTTTAAGGCCTATCACACTGCTGTTTCAAGCATGGTATGGTCTGCATAACCACACAGCTTGCTGGTTTATGACACTGTAGCAGTCTGACAGCCTTCACAAGGACAGTCCAAACATTTACTGCTGATGATGCAGGCATTTATGAAAGATTTCCTCAGAAGACTCACTTCACAATCCAGTCATACCAAAAATATTCAATTTGGCAAAAATATTCAAGCTTATGCTAATATTCAATCACATGTAGTCAGAATAATAGGGGATTGGAACTTCTAATTAATATGGGCCGGACTTATCATTTTTGCCATAAGGGCCTCCTTTTTTAAAATCAGTCTTACTTATTTATTTGATATCAGAGTAAACAGAAGTAGAGTAAATATCTTATAAGTTTGAGTTATTTCAACAAAATTTGTTTAACTTAAAAATGATTAATTTTTTTTTAATCATTTAGTTAGATAACACACCTCTGTTATGGGAAGAAAACTCTGACACTTTGATCTACAGTTTTAGACTAGCTTTCCTATTTACCTATTAATTTTTTCCCAGCCCTCCAAGCTTTTTGTCAGTGCCCGGTTATGTTCTTATCACTGTTGTATTACATTAAACATGTTTTCCATTTTCTGTTAGACCTTTTCTGCTGTCAAATCCTAATGAAAATTATGTTGTTTTTTTTTACTAATGAATTAGTAAAGTTCAATAGATAGTTCAGGGCTGGGTCATGCAGGTTGCGTACAATTTCATAATCTCCAACCTGATTTCCTTCCTTTACACAATGACTGCGTATAGAGGGGATCCGACTACATAGGGTGAGCAAATCCCAATCTTTGCAGTTCTGTCTCAGTACCCCACAAATTCAAACCATTTCCCACATTTGACTGGGATGATTATGCAAAGTTAAGAAAAAAAACATTCAGCACATCTACAAAGCAAAGCCACACTTCATGAGTCTGTGCAGCAACCAGAACAGATAGAGAATCTTCATAAGCCTATAAAAATTTAACTGGAACTGCATTTAAAAAAAAGAGGAAAATGCAGCAATATAAATTGTGGGATGGTTTATTATACTTATGAGTACTGAAGTTGTTTCTCACTATGTGTACTTCTGCTTTCTCATGCACTCATGACATGTCATCAGCTTCAGCCGCAGCACTGTTCCAATTCTCAAGAACACAAGACCTAGAATGGGCAAAAACCCGTCATCTCATCAACTGGGTCCAATCGGAACATGATGACTTGATGAGATGAATGGAGTCTGTTGTGCGATTGCTTTGTTTAGAAGAAAACCTGCAGCTGCTCGGCCCTTTCTAGAATCGGTTTGAGACAGCTGCACTATATAGTCAAATAAAACAATTACAAAGAGGACCTTAACTTTTGGAATTGATGTCTTTTTTTCCCCCTAACTTGTGATTTTCTCAATGTGACAAAGATGCATCAAACCAGCAGAACATACATCTGAATGACAGTGTTTCCTCCACCATTAGATACACCTGCTTTCAAATTCCAGCGAGCCTGTACTGACTTGCTTTTTAAGGGCTGAACAGTCCACTCGCCCTACCCACTACGTGGTTCGGGATGGCCCTTAACGTGGCCAACATAGCGCCGGAACCCGCAAACAGAGGATTAGTGCATAGGGGAAGAGAATAGGAGCGCACAGAACAAATGGCTGGAGTCTGGTATGCGACTGCTTTGTTGGAAAGAGAACTTGCAGCCACACAGCTTCTGGAACCGGTTTAAGACCCCTGATATATTGTATTTTTTAGAAAGGACAAATGTTCAATGCAGTGTCAAACTGCGCTACACAGCTACAACCTTGCAAATGGGGCATCACTGTGTTTCCATAGAAATGACTGCTTTCCTTTTCGTCTGGAGGGATTCTCATTTATACCCCCCCACATGATGGTTCAAGGTCGGTACATAGGGTGTGGTTTGGGATTGGGCCCCTCTCAGTCGGAGATTTTGTAAGCCCCCTTGCAGAAAACCGTGAATGAGTGTGTTCATCCACATTTACTTTCAATGTGAACTTAACGCCACAACCTCGATCAACATAATCGGATTTATCCGATTGCATGCAAAATTGGATTCAATGTGTTCAGGGCTTTAGACTGTGTTCATTTCTTTATCTTACTGCATTTTGTCTTTTATCCCAAATATTAGAGAAATATCTTATTTCAAGAATTGTGGCATAAAAATGAATAAAATTTTTCTGAGAAGCCTTTTTAATAGTGACTACTAACAGTTTAAATGAAACCACAAAGGAAAACCACACAAACTCACTTGGGCTGCAGGGTTCTCAGAGCTTGACGTAAAGGAAACTTCTTGACTTTTAGATTTCAGATTAAACCAATTCTGCGGCGAAAAGACAAGATGGGTTAGCAAGATAGAGTTACCTTGAAATAAACAATAACTTAAGTAAGAGGAATGATGCATGCTTTCCCAAAAGTAGTTTTACTAAATACAATCTGAGAATTGTTGAATGTCTGTGTGTTTGCATCAACTCAACCTGGTTAGGTAAGAACCATCATTACAGTCAGCTGCAAATGTTTGAGTATTTCTAGACACCTAAATTCTGAAGTGTTTAAGCATACTTCTTTACAACATGGGTTTTTGTATCATATGAGCATGGTGTAAATCATCGCTCAGTTTTAGCACTGGCTACAGGTGGCCCAGCTGCTAAAGCCGGGCATACATTGTACGATTTTTTCAATCGTTGTACTATGTGCTACAAATGATACTGCACGACGAAACCACAGAGTTTAAGCCAAACTGCCTTTTACCAAAAATATGGAGTTGTGTTTGCTACGACTCATGTTTTTGGCATACTAATCAACATTTTCAAATATAAAATGATGGGTTTCATACCTAAATCTATTAAAGGTTTTACAATAAAGATAAACAAAATACAAAGCAGGAAATCGTAAATAATTACCTGAAAAATGTCAGATTTCCTAGGATCTGGTAAGGGTTCACCTTTGAAACTCTTCACCACATAGATTCTGAAATAATTGAAAGTTTAACCATAAATTAGACACAAAGATGTCTTGAGACAACATCACAGCTGTAGACATCCCAAAAATTCGGTCCTCGAGGGCCTCTGTCCTGCAGGTTTTAGAGGTTTGCCTGCTTTAGCACAGCTGATTCTAATGATTGCAGTTCAGCAACAGCTTGTTAATTAGCAATCAATGAAAATTCAGCTGTGCAGAAGGAGGGATACCTTTAAAACCTGCAGGACAGCGGCCCTCGAGGACCGACTTTGGGGATGCCTAGGTTAAAGTTAAACAATCAAAAGACACATTGCACTGTGTTTAAACTCACAGCTTTTTTTTGCGGATAAAGATGACTATGCCAGTGAGCAAAAGACCCAATGCTACCAGGGTAAAAGCACCTTGAGCCACATCCCACTCTGAAAAGAAAAAAAAAAAACAGAACAGAGAAGGTTGCATTAGTTGATGTAGTTAACAAAGTTAAAGGGCCTGTACTTATTTAGTGGAAACTTGACCACAGCGCTTTTCGCTACATTCAGTCATTCACAAATTCCCGCACACACTAACGGTGGCAAGCTAAACTGTAGCCATAGCTGCCCTGGGGCTCACTGACAGAAACAAGGCTGCCATGCAATGGTGCCAAAAGTCGCTCTGACCACCATCATTAGGCAATGAAGGGGAAGTGTACGCAAGGACACAACAACACTGAAAGCCAGAGCCAGGGCTTGAAGAGTCAACCCTTCGATTTCAGGTTCAGACTCCTACATCTGACACCACTGTCACCACTCTACAGATGTGTCTGAATCTGTAGAGGTTCTCCCTAAAGTTTGTTTGTGCTTTTGTGTCTAGGATTTTTTCCCACTTTCAAGGACAGATTCAGAAAATGTTTCTTGAACATTCCTTGCCTGATAGGGGTAATTCTTACATTGCCAAAACTACCAAGGAGAGGTTAATGTCTTGCTTATGTTCCAGTTCTTGATTGATGCTTACGTGGGTTTGACTTGAACAGTTGTGATTCAATAAAGGTTTGATTAAACTAGTCAACTTTAATGTCAACCAGTATTTTACCTGATGTTGGATTCTCCATTCCCACTTGTGACACCCAGGACACCGTGGGGCTCCAATCACTCCAGGTTCCATTAAAATCTGGATCTGAAACCTCCACACGAACACGCGCTTCATAAGTCTCATCTTTTATAAGCAAACTGGGATCCAGTTTTGCCTCACATGGCAATTCACATTTAATTTCTTTAGTCTTAACAGAGGAATCCTGAAAAATAGAAAGAATTTAATAGATAATTAGCAGGTTGCTACAGTTTGTAAGCCACTCACTCAGAAAGTGTACATTTATATTAAAATTGAGCAATTACTTACATTCCACAACATATTATTTTTTTTCCACTGTAGCTGAGAGTTGAAACGCTTAATGCAATAATGGTCCTGAGTTTGGGCTACCCAGGTCACAGTTGTCTGGTTCACATTAGGTTTTCCTGGTGGATTCAGCTTTACTGTGAAATCAAAAATGTTATTATTACTAGATAGACACCAGATGGTATACAGTGCTTGGCAAAAGTGTTTGGAATTCATTCAACTTTTTTAGATTTGTCACTTAACTGTACAACAATACAAACAACATATTTCATTGAGATTTCACATGAAAGACTAGGCCGCTGCAGCATGTATCCCAAACTCACTACAGCTCTTTGTCCCCATTACTGTAACTCTTAGCCAAAATTAAGCAGTTATTGTTTAAACCTAAACATTGTATAATTCCTGTGTATGATTAATCAGTCTCATCTTACAATGTCTACAACTGAATGATACTAATATTAGAATTATTTTTATTGTTTCATATTTAGTTGTTAACACTTCATTTTCTTAAATGGGGCGCTTATTTTTTTCTTCCTTTTTTAGGAAATATGGAAAAAGAAGATGATTGCCTTTGTTTCAAATGTCTTGAAATAGAGATGAAATAGAATTGAATGATTTAGAAATTACCAATACGTTCAAACGGTTTTGGGACTCTTGGAGGTCTGATTGCATTGGCCATTTCTTATACAACAGGCTATTGAAAACTGGAGTAAAATGTGTGTGGGGAGGTAGGGTGGTATATAGTACTTTTTTGGAATAATCTTAAACCTACAGACGTGTCCTTTTGAAATTTGGCCTAAATATTCCTACTTTGTGTTTGTAGCTGCATCTTTAATCCGACTAAGATGAATACCTGGCTTCAGCTGGTGCATGCTAGAGACAGTTTATTTATACATAGAAGCAATGGATTATTTTCCTCCCATCACCAACGGAACTGAAATCAAGGTAGACCTAGCTAAAGAATCTGAATGGAAGCATCCACCTGGGGGTGCTGTTTCCTTGTATACTTAGGCAAACCTTACAGTGACTGTGTGTCCAGCCTCATCAATCAATCAGTAGTAGGTCAGTCATCAGTAGGTCAGTCATCAATCAGTCTTTATGTCAACAACAACTTGTATTGTAATCGAGATTTCAGGTTATCCTCGTGGATACTTTTTATGATCTGTTTATTCACTGAGAAAACAGTTTCCAGTCTTACTTTGAATTTTTCTAAAACTACTGTACTTTTCATACTCCTTTTACTTCTTGTCTGTCTCGTTTGGAGTCAGAATTTTCATTAGTGAGAACTCACAATAACTTCTGGGGTAAATCCAGGGATAAATGCATATCCTGGATTTTCGGATTCAAGAAGTCAGATAGACGTTATCCTATGTCAAGTCACTACTCCTAGTTGCTCCATGAACCAACTCTGGTCGGTAGCAGGATCTGTTGAACTTACCCTGAGTCTATAGCTCATTACAGATTAAATGTTTTGTCCTTCAATGAAGGAGCCTGGAGATTTTGGAGAGCAAATGTTTATCATCCCTCTTGGGAATAAATACCTTTTAAGATCAAAGGAAATGAGTAAAAAGCGTTTTGTGCTGCACATAACATTTATGCTATAGGCGAGAGTTCAGAGATGTAAGAGATGTAGAGTAAAAGTTTTACTGTACAGCACACCATTAGATCATTCACAGTTTATAATGTTAGTGGATTTAAAGATATAGTGGAGAAATTTCTTTTTCGGGGTAGATCATCAAAATAAGTGGTCCTCCTAACTGTCAATCACTCTGGTGATATGTTTACGTAAAGTCCCCACTTTCCAATGGGTGGTGAGTGAATAAAAAATTGCAAATCTTCTTTTGTACAGTAAGATTGTATGAGTGATGCAAACAGCAACGTTCAAACAGAACGTGCACAAGGAGAAATGGGATTGTGCATGCTCACATATGGGTTTAATATGCGGGTTGTGCATGTGCTTTTTTTTAAGTGGAAAGGGAGGGGCTTTTCAAAAATTCGTGAAAATCCTCCACTACACCTTTAAACCAGAGCTGAGTTACCTTTTTATCACGGAAAATCCTGAATATTGGAAAACCGAATAACTTAACTCAGGATATCTGTTCTTTACTCCAAAATGGTTACACTTTTCTAAAATGGGACGGTGATATATATAAAAATGTATAGGTTTGCTCCAACATTTATCAAAACTGGACTGACTAGATACTATCAAAATCTGATGAGGGCTCTGATGCCACAGTGCCACAGAGGCAGTTGAATTTACAAAGTCAACTAGAATGATTTCTTTTTGCCGGAGCAAAAAGCCTTGTGTGAATGAGGTGTAACACCTAGGAACTATTAAAAACCTTACCATATGGCCTGGGCTGAGTTTGTTCAGATTGTAGACATGAGGGCTAAAATGGACCATTATATAGAAATAGTTCTGAATAAACTAAGGAGAGAAAAATTACACTTTTTTTTAAATCAGTTTGCTACAACAGCTTTTATATATTATTTCCGGATTAAGAAGGGAGGAGAACATAAGTTTACCGCAGTATTCAAATTTCTATTTGTAAAAACAACCTTCATCATGATTTAAATTAAGAATTCACAGTATTATAGTGACAAGATGTGAGAAAGGTTTGAGCATTATTGTTTATACTCACTGTGACAACTTGGCTTGTAGGAAATGTCTTCATAATGTTTCGAAGAGTCGCAGCCCACATTAATAGATAACTGACTGAAGGAAAAAAACTGAAAATGAAGATGATAAAATAATGTTAACTTTCAGAGAACTCTCGCAAACCTATTTTCAAAGTCTGAGGAAACATATTTTCGGTGGCTAGTCCTACAAGATAGCTAAACATCTATGTTTATGTAAAAAAAATCGTCAAGCATAATGTGTTTTGTTTTTCTTGCTAAGAAAATACTTTAAAGGTTGAGGGAAATAAAGTAGAACAATGTTGAGGTAAAAATATTCAAATCCATTAAAAGACCCAGTTAAATCAGTTGTCTGTTATATTTCAGGAGCCTTTCTTTTTTTTTTTCACTTTTATAAAATTGATTTTAACTCTCTTATCTATGTTGATACTCCACATCGCTGGCAAAATGACAGACTAAGCATGAAAAAGAAGAGAAGTAAAATTCTTTAGAGAATTAATTTTGTTGCATGAGTAAAAGAGAACACTTAATCTTTATTTTTAAAAACTTGATGATAAAAATATAAACCAATCCAGATGCAGCATCTGATGATCCCCATCCCAAAAAATGTCCAACATTTCAAATTATTTATTTAAATTAGATAGTGGTGTCATGTACTCACAACATATGAAGGTCGGAAGACCAGCGAGCATCTTCTTAAGGCTGGTATTGAGACATCAAACGGCTTTAAGTCACAGGAAGCTTTGTAGGAACTTCATTAAAGACATAAGACTTTATTTTAATCATCTATTATTTAAAATGAGTTAAAAGCATTTAACATAGAAGTAATAAAATAAAAAAAGAAAAACTTTGTTCTTACTTGGAACGTTCCATTTCTGCATCCAGTGTGCACACATCATCATGTGTTGGATCATAGACCGTTGAGCTGTTCCACACGCAGGTAATGGTATGATTATAGTCATTGTAACAAGTGAGGTCTGAAAATGAACACTGACATTTTAACGCAGGAAAATAAGACATAATTACGGCTTTCATAAAACATAAACTTAAACAACTTACTTTTAATTGGAAGGCTGGGGCAGCTATCACCTGTAGCGCTGTAGATTTGTAGAAAATGAAGAAGAAGAAGAAGATGAAACAGAAAGGATCCTTGTTTCATTCTCTCCATCTTTATGACTTCTTTTATTTAGGGGATATGAACCACTGAGATTGGGGGATTTCAAACATCTGTGACCAGCAGGTTTGATTGTGTTTAATTCAGAATATCACTCATTACATAGCAGCACTTCTCATCCTGTAGTTGACAAACAGAAAAAAAGGAACACATTAGTTTTACTCAGTTATCTTCAACTAGTCACCTGCCTACTTCAAAAAAACCTGTATTGAAAAACAAAGAAAGGATCAAGAAATGTTTCAGGTCATGTCTTAGAAATGTTGTTGTGGTTCCACCTGCATATACAGAGAGACCACATGGTAGAAAATGACTAAAGCAGTTTAAACAGTTAGGTGAAACCAACCTTAGCCCTACTAAACGTCACCTAACAGCTGGATTTATACTAAGTTTAAATTACATGCAGATAAACCCTGTTTACGCTTAAGGTCACATGTGAATGTAATTGGTTGCATGGGATTTTATTTTAGAGTTTAAAATAAGGGGGTCCGAAGATCTTGCATTTCACCAAATTGAAATAGATCAAAATAAGATACGAGGTTGCAATTCACAAGGCAGTGCAGCAAAATTGTGATAGGACTACTGCTGAAAAGATTTCTTCTAAAATCAGTGAATAATGAAAAAAAAAAACTAACTTGCCAAGTCTGTCTACAAGTGGTAATGACTTGCTGTGACTTCCCCTTAATAAGAAAGCAGTCAAAAGGACTAATCGACTGGGAAGGACTTTCAGATAAAGCCATACAGGTGCACATGTACTAATATGAAGCACAAGTAACTTCTAGGTCTGTTAAGCAGCTTGTATTAATAATCAATGCATGAAAACTTCATCACAGCATGTTATTTAGAAATGTAAATTAAAATTGGCTACCTACCAGCTTTTCTTCCATAATTTTACACAAAGAATTAGTTTTCTTGAGAAGGGTAAAAAAAACTGAGTGAAGACAGGAAATCTTCAGTGTTTTGCTGATTTCTAAAGCAGGTTAAGATCTCTTAACTTCCTCCATTGTACTGCAAAGGAGTACCAGACAAGTTTTTTTTTTCTATGTATAGATATAATCTACAATTACTGCTAACACTGATAAGACAGAGACAATTGAATGAGCTACTGGAAGGTAAAGACTGAGAGCTGTCTTCATAAAATCCTTTATATATTTACTCTGTATGGATCCACCCACTTTTTTTCATGATGTTTGCATCACATTGATATCCTCTCACTAATAGTTGGAAATCTAGTTCACCCATTAGAGTAGTATTTTGTTTTATTTCCCTTCATCCGGATAGTTTAACATAATGCATCAAGATTTGTGTGATATTCTTAATGCCTGATTTATGACGAGTCTAGGCAATTTCAGTTCTGCTATATATTTGTATGCTTCCTTATGTACGATTATCCAATTCTAAATACTTGACATATGTTTACCTTCAGTTATGCAGTTAAACCATCAAAGATTTCACTGATCTGTGTTGCATTGGCAAACATCATATTAAGTCTGATTATTTTCAGCTTTAGCATCAAAATAAAAACATGTGTGGGTTTTAATGTAGGATTTGTGATCTGAGGTTATTTCAGTCAATTATAAACTGAGCAAAACACCTACAGTTCCCTGCAGCCTTTAGTTGGCACAGCAACATCAAAAACATCAAAACAGCAGCTACAAAAAAAAAAAAATCAATAATTTATGATGGGGAATGCAAAGGATATGAGCGCCGGTTTAGTTTAAATACTTGCCAATTAAGTTCATGTTGGTAATCTAAGTTAGCATATGATTAACATCAAGAAACATATGAGAAAAAATGTGCAAAAATATACCAGCATAAACTGAATCATTTAGCAAAAGTTTTTGCAACCCAATCAATGGATAGCTGCACCTTTTTGATGAAATCTGAAAAATGTTCACGTACTTACGTACAAATGTTACCTTATGCCACATAGTTAAAGCCACAAATTACTTAATTGATACCTAACTAAATCTGATCCTTCTCAGCTTTAGCATCGGAATCACAGGAGCATCTGAACTGTGTAACAAACATGATGAAGATAAATGCATGCTTGGGTTTCGTCTAGCATTTGTGGTCTGAGGTGAATTATAACTGACCAAAAAACACCCACAGTCCCCTGCAGCATTTACTTTTCACAAAAACAATCTTTCAAAAAAAGGTCAACAACAAGAAAGTGTTGTAGTTGTTGTAAATTTTGCAAAAGCAAGAGTTTCTAAATTTTCAAACACTGGTTTAAATGTAATTCTAACCAAACAAAGTCATGTATGTAATCCAGTTTAGCAGAACATTAACAACTCCCAAACACACACAAAAATAACACCAATATTATTTAAAATCATATAGCATCAAATGTTTGCAAATTGGTAAATGGATCAATTAGTTAGCTTCACCTTCTTGATTACTCAAAGTATTTCTGCACCACATGTTTCCTTTCATTTGTATGTTCTCACCATCTCTTCTCAAATGTTTATGAGATTTAATAAAGGTCAGAAGGTTTTTTCTAAAAAAAAAACAAAAATGTTCCATTAGTTCGACAGGTGCACATCCTGCTAACAACACTTCCACCCCCGTAAACAGATTTAATCTGATAAGAAGTATTATTCTATAGGCTACCAAATGATGATGTTATAAAAAACAGGAACTATGTATTTTTATCCAGGTGCCTTACCAGAAACCACTGAACTATTATGAGCAAAAAGGAGGTGGATATTTCGGTAACACTTAATGAGCTTCTATGGTATCAATAAATAAAAAACCACCCATCCGTGAGTCAGATATTCCATTGAGGCTGTTGAACTACAGGTACTGTGGGGCTCAATGACACTTAAATTAATATTTTTTATTACTTAATGCTTCTTTGCTATTCTGCCAAAAATAAAACACAAATAAAGATCTCTGAAACCCCTTTCACTGTATGCATGATCTTTCATTTGGGATTAACGTCAATGGAGCTTATATCTCATGTTAAAGATAGCCTCATGCAAGTTCCATGCTAAATAGGTTTATCCTCTTCAATGCATTTCAAGATTTCAAGAAATGACTGTGTAGCACTCAATACAGCATTGTGCATGCATGACTAATATCGTGAAATCCCAATGAGTTACTTTTGTAGATCGTACAACAAATCTACTAAAGAGTAGAAAAATGTAAAGATAAAAATAATCTTCGAATAGCATTACCAAATCAATAAAAGTGTTTTAGCTTTCTTCAACAGTGTGTCCTATCTTTTTGTTTAGAATAATTAATGTTCTGTTTATGTCTTCCTCTGACATTTGGACTTTCCCTTACCTGGTCCAACAGAAAAACTAAAAACACAGACTCTCTTTTCTCACTCTATTTTATAAAGACATGAGCCAGAAAACAACCACAGAAACCAGTTAGACAAAAAACCACTTCCTAACCTCTTTTTCTTTCCTGAAACTACTTTAGTTTCTGAAAAGAAGTGAAGAAAAAAAAAACCCTTTTGGTCATGCCCTGCTCTATATTTCTTATTTACTGTTATGGGTAACATGAAATAATACTGAAATCAAGTGTAAGATTTTATTTTTTGAGGTAGCTAACTTAAAATAAGCAATCATCCAGTATTGTAAATATTCTAGCCAGTATGCAGCAGCATTTAAACCACATCAGTGGCATGGGGCTGCACAGCTGGTAGCACTGTTGGCTTTCAGGTAGAGGTCCTGGGTTGGAATGTTGGCCTATCTGGAAAATGGGCCTAGATTTAAACACACACTTAGGCTAAAATAACTTACATGAAATGTTTGAGAAACAGTCCATCCAGTGAATGGTGGCTTTGAAAGAAAAAGTAAAGCATTACAACATTATTTAAAAGTGAAGACAGCTTTGATAAGATTCGAGGCTTTCCTTCATTCTTTGTATATCACATATTCTTTACAATTCGGCTGATAAACAAACA